TCTAGATGCCTGGGTGCAGCTGCCTGGACTCTGGGGTAAGATTCTTCCTGGTTGCTCTCTGACGCCTGAGGAGCTTCTGCAGGTTTATCTTGTGGTTTGTTTGTTTTTCCAGTTTTCCATGCAGATGAGGGCTAAAGAGGATCCCGCTGTGTTGCCAAGCTCTGAAGTCAGGAAACAGTTGCCAAGAGGACCTGGGTCTCTGGGCTAGCTTCCTGAAGTTTCTTGGGATTTAACTGTTTACTGGGACTTGGCGACATCACTCCAGTTTCTGATTCTTTCATTCTTTTCCCTTGCTGTGCAAAGATTTATAGAAGCATTACTGCAGCCCTATGAGGGGGGCGGGGATACCTTCAGTATCCCAGTATCCCCTGTGGGCTCCGGTTGGAGTCCCGGCTATTCCACTTCTGACTCCGCTCCCTGCTAATATACCGGGGAAACAGAGGAGAATGGCCAAGTGGTTGGCACCCATGCGAGAGACCTGCAAGAAATTCCAGGCTCCTAGCTTTGGCTTAGCTCAGCTCTGGCCATTGTGGCTATTTAGGGAGTAGAAGATCTTTCTCTGTCTCCCCTTCTCTCTATAAATCTGACTTTCAAATAAAATAAATAAACTTTATTTGAAAAACAGAGTTACAGAAAGGGTGATGGACAGAGATATTTTTCATCCACCAAGTTACTCCCCAGATGGCCACAATGGCAGGTCCTGGGCTAGACCAAAGCCAGGAGGCTGGAACTCTGGGTCTCCCCCTTGAGTTCTGGGGTCCACCTACATGGGACATCTTCCTCTGCTTTTTCAGGTGCATTAGTGAGGAGCTGGGTCAGAAGTGGAGCAGCTAGCTTTCAAGCAAGCACCATTATGCCATTGCAGGAAGCTGCTTAAAACTCTGCCACGATGCCAGTCCCAAGCACGAGTATTGATTTTGTTTGCTTGCTTGTTTGTTTGTTTAATGTTTTATCTCTAGGTCCTAGTGCCTAGGAAGGTTTAAATGAAAATCTGGTCGTGTTTTTTTTTTTTTTTTATTTCACTTTTGACTGTCAGTCCTTGGGAAAACAGTCAACTTACTGTTTTTAATTTCCTTTTGAAAAGTAGAGGGACAAAACTAGACAAACAGGGAGATCTTGCACCCCAAATGGAAATTAAACACAGTAAGCTGGCTGTCCCACCCACAGCAAAATGGCTGAGAGCCAGAGGCACTGCGCCGACAGGCAGGGAACCCGAGGGAACCCCACTGGAACCCAGTGGGGCCTGAGTCCTGCTCTTTCTGGCTGCTGAGCTGTGCCCTGGAGCAGGCCCGGGTGCTAAACTCTGTTCTCCCATGGTGCTCCAGGCCAGGCCTCACCCCTTGGCTTTCACTCAGTCACAGCTTCAAATCTTGAAGGAGGACTTGACCGGGAGGAATTAGAAGAATTTCCCATTGTTTCCCATTGGGGCCATCACTATGGTAGAGCTGCCACCACAATGCCCGCATCCTACATGGGCACTGGTTCCAGTCCCAGCTGCTCCATTTCCAATCCAGCTTCCTGCTAAGGGCCTGGGAAAGCACTAGAAGTTTGAGCCCCTGCACTCAGGTGGGGGACCTGCAAGAACAAACTTCTGGCTCTTGGTTTGGGCTTGGCTTAGTCTTGGGTGTTGCAGCCTTATGGGGAGTGAACCAGGGGATGGAAGAGCTCTCTCTTTCTCTGCCTCTCTCTCTCTCCCTCCCTGTTTGTAATTCCGCTTTTTAAATAAGTAAAATAAATCTTAAAAGAGAGACAATAATTCCCCATCAGCTGCACTCACCTTGTCCGGCTGCAGGCATGGGCAGTGGCCTTGGGACTCTCCTGTGAAAGATATTTGGCCTCTCTCCCTTCCCTTGAACCCAGCTGCTGTCCTGCGAGGTCAGGTCTGAGGTGCAGCTGCAGGATCAGCCCTCGGCTCTGCCCTGAGGTTGTGATCAGCTGAGCCTGTCCCCCTGCCTTTCCCTTCTTCCCTCTCGCTGCCTTTGAGCCTTTGAGTATGGGGCTCCTGGGCAGGAGGCAGTCACCATGGGCTCCATTCACACTCTGCCCTGACAACCAGCAGGCCCCACCCACCCTGGCTTCCTGCAGGCAGTGGTGCAGCCTCCGCTCTCCCCCTCCACCCCGAATCTGTGCTCTGACGCACCACCAGGGTCTCCTACATTTTACAGGAAGTGTTGGAGAACTTCTCTTGCCGCATAGGACCGTTTGGGACCCCAGTGATGTGGAGTCTACAGCCCTGTGCTGTGTGTCCCGGGCCCAGGCTTCAGGCGGAGGGCTTGGAAGATGATCAGAACATCAGGAATGACTCAGAGCCAGACAGAGAATCAGAGGAGAGGGGGAAGGAAGAGGAGAAAGAAGAGAAGAGAATGGAGGAAGACAGGGAGGCAGAAAGAAGAGGCAGACAGACGCAGAGAGCAGAGGAAAAGGAGGAGGAAGAGCCACTCCCATAACAGCCTGCAGGAAGTTCACAAACTCACTGTTCAGCCTCGGGCTGTTTTGAAGGTCCTTAACTGAAGAACTTCCTGCATCAGCCCTGAAAACTGCCAGCAGGTAGGCTAGCAGGTAGGCCTTAGCAGAAATTGGTGGGCTCTCCACAGCTTCATGATTAAAAGGGGTCTGAGAGAGGTGCGGTTGTCTTTGGTTAACAACCTGGGGCTTTTGGAACATTCTCGGCTCTTCATGGGTGCTCAACTAGACTGCCAAAGGCACTGATTGCATTTCCGTTCAGGAAAACCAAGAAGAGATGGATGCAGAGTTCAGCTGGGGTGAGCTGGGCAGTGGGTACCCAGGCAGGTGCCTACTGCAGGTGCCCAGTGAAGTTGACCATGCATCTGCTGTTTGGCCTGCTTGCCTGTGAGCCTGCCAGGCAGCACCTCGGAGTTTCACTGGTATCTGGTTGTTGTGAGTTTAAATACAAACAATTTTCAGAGCCTTGGCTGCCAACACAGAAACATGTAGCATTTCACACAGGAACGTCTATTTATAATTTTTAAAAGATTTTATCAGGACCGCCTTTCAGGGTGTCTGGTTTGCTGGGGGTGCCCATTAGCTCTGTTACGGAGGCCTCACAGGAAAAGAAGTGCGCATTTGCAGAAGGAGATGGAACGGCACCTTATTCTGATCCCGTTCTTGGGTGGTGGCAGCCCTCAGTTGGACTAACACAGCCGTGTTGCTACACACAGCCGGGCAGGTTGTTAGCATGGATTGTCCAGCTGGGACTTATCTAAGAACTGAATTACCTGACATAGATGGATGCAGAAAGGGGGCCGGGGTCACCTGGGAGATAAAACCTGTTGAAGTACAGAGGTGTTGAAGTACAGAGCCAGATGCAGGACGGCCAATGCTGGGACGTCTGTCTGCCTGGGGGGAAGCTGCTAGGCACCTCCAACCATCCATGCAAGCTGCAGGGATGGGGGACATCCGTCAGGAGGTGACAGGACCGATGTGTGCAGACCGATGTGGGGAGGTAGGGGACATTGGCCATCTAGTGGGCCGGGACAGCAGGCCCTGGGGACAGCAAGAGCCAGCAGTGTGTATGTGTGTGTGTGGAGTTGGGGAGGCTGTGGAGAAAAATGGGTCAGGGAAAAGGGGAGGGGTACATGGGAAGGGAAGCGAGTCTGCCGGTGTGGCAGGACTCAGAGAGCAGAGCAAAGCCAGTCACCTTGGTTTGGGGCCTCTGACTGTGCCAGCTCAGGAGGATCTACCGAGCAGTACCAACTGTGTGAGTGAGGAGGGGGAGACAGGGCGTGACCCAGCTGGAGGACCCAGTGTGGATCCTGCTGGATCTGAAAGCAAGAAGAGCTTCTCCTTGGGGGATTGCTACTTCTGTCTGTGTGTGTACACTGGAGGTCTGTGTCAAAGAGAATGTGTGTGCAACAGCATGAGTGTGCACAGGGGTCTCTGTGTAAGGGTGTGTGAGTGCAGGGTTATGTGTGTGCAAGGAGGTAAGTGTGTCAGGGATGAATGTGTTGATGTGTCAGTGTGTAAGGGCTGTGAGTGTGCAGGATGTGACTTGATGCAAGTGTGTGGAGTAGATCTATCTGTGTGTCTGTGTGTGCAAGGAGGTGTGTCCGTGTGTGAGTGTGCGAGGGTGACTGTGTGTATGTAAGAAGGTGTGTCCGTGTGTGGGTGTGCGAGGGTGACTGTGTGTATGTAAGGAGGTGAGTGTATCGGTGTGTGGGTGTGCAAGGAGGTATGTGAGTGCATGGGGTGGTTGTGTCGTGTGTGCAAGGAGTGTGTGTCCATGTGAGTGTGCAAGGGTGACTGTGTGTATGTAAGGAAGTGTGTCCGTGTGTGGGTGTGCAGGGGTGACTGTATTATGTAAGGAGTGTGCCGGTTTGTGGGTGGGCAAGGAGGTGTGTAAGTGCGTGGGGTGAATGTGTCCGTGTGTGCAAGTTGGTGAGCGTGTCGGGGCATGTGTAAGGAGGTGAGCACACGTGTCGGTGTGTGCGCAGGGAGGTGTGTGTGTCCGTGTGAGTGTGCACAGGGGGTGAGTATGTTGTGTGAGCATGTCGATGTGCGCCCACATGGGGGGGCAGCTGTGACGTCACTTTCAGGCGTCCTGCCGAGGGAGAACGGTCTTGTGACCTCCGACCTCACGCACGCGGGAACCCTGCTTCCACGTCCTCGGGAGGCGGTTGGTGTCGGCTTGTGGGTCGGGTACGCTGAGGTGAGGTTCCACGCAGTAACTGCCTCTCCTGGTCGAGTACTCCACGCCGAAATCCCGCAAGGGCGCGCCCGCACACCCTTCACCGCACTAGGAGAAGGAGCGTGGCCATTCTGTGGGGACCAGGGTGCGGGGCAGGAGGGCGGTTGGCCTCCCGCTGGCCTCTGCACCTGCGGGCTCCGAGCCTGCCCTCCTCGGGTCGGGATTCCTCCTGGGGGCCCAGGCGCAGGCAGCGGGCCGCAGGGCTGGCCGTGGAAGTCGGCGGGTGTGTGGCCGTGAATGGGGCCCTCAGTGCTTCTTGGCGGGAACTGCGTCCCTTTTGTTCCTCTGTCTCTTTAGCTCTCTGGCAGCCACATCTGGAGAGCCCAGTGGCGTTTCGGCCCTGGTAAACAGCTTGCAGGAAAAATGCGCCTCACATTCCCGGGCGGAGACCCCCAGCCCCCTGTGGGCCGCAGCTGCCGTGGGAACTGGACAACTTGTGTGCGGAGCCGGTGCGCTGGGACTCAGGCTGCTCCTCCTCCTTCTCTTGCAGACATCCGGGGAGTCCTAGGGCTGAAGGTTCCGAGCAGTGGCTGCAAAGAAACAGGTAGGGCTTCATGAAGTGGCTTCCATTTTCTAAACCCTCCCCTGCCCCCGCGCCTCACCATATTGGCTTTCCAAGAAGTTTCCATGGTGGTTATGTTTATTTTTGTGGTTATGTTTATCTACTCCTTCTGGTTAGGATGTGTGGCATATGCGTACACGCAACTGACATTGTTATCAGCCTTCTGTCTTTAAGAAAGAAATCAGGGATTCTGTTATTTTCAACATCTTTTGACTCCCTCCAGCCTCTTTGTTCAATATGTGGTCTGTGAGCCACATGGCGTGAACTCATGACATCACTCACGCCTTATTAGGCGCACACACGCGCACACACGTGCACACACACACACACACCAGTGTTTTAACGAGGCCCACCCAGGAGATTCCAGTGCATGGCAAAGATTGAGAAGCCCACGAGTGGGTGAGCTTCTTGGTCATGGATGGACTGCTGGGAAATTTTTTTTTGAAAGAATTTTCTATCTGCTGGTTTACTCCCCAAATGATCAGAATACCTAGAGCTGGGCGTGCGTCTCCCGCATGGGTGTAGAATCCCAAGGCCTTTGGCTATCCTCTGCTGCTTTTCCAGGTCATTAGCACGTGCTGCATTGAAAGTGGAGCAGCTGTGACTCAAACTGGGGTCCATACAGGATGCCAGGGCAGGTGGAGGATTAGCCTGCTCTACCATCATGCCAGGCCTGAGATGGATCTTTCAAGTCTTGATCTTCTTCATAGTCTCCTGGCCCATCTAATGGCCTTGCTCATACTTAATCCAGTCATTTGGCACCGTTCTATAGTTAATGTGAAAATTTCAGAAGTAAAACAAAACAAGCTGGAATTGTGGCATACAGAGTTAAAACCGCTGGCTACAGTGTGAGTGTACTATATGGTGCCAGTCAGAGTCCTGGCTGCTCCACTTCAAGTCCAGCTCCCTGCTAATGCTCCTGGGAAAGCTGTACAAGATGATCCAATGTGCTTGGGCCCCTGCACCCCATGTGAGAGACCTGGAGGAAGTACCTGGCTGTTGGTTTTGGTCTGACCCATCCATAGCCATTTGGGGAGCGAACAAGTGGATGGAAGATGTCACACTGTTGGAACTCTGCTTGTCAGATAGAGTGAGGCTTTGTTAACATGGCTTTATGTTGATGACAGTCAGTTGACAGGTGTTTACTGAGCTGCTGTATGCCAGACACCATTCTCCATGCTGGGGGCCATAGCAGTGGCTTCGAGAAAGGGCTGGATATTGGAGAAAGTTGAACAAGCAAATAGACAGGGCTGAGCAATTCCAGGAAGAAAATCCAGCAGAACTTTCTGAGATCCTTTTGGATGCAAGAGAACCAGAAACAAGAAACAAGGCAGATCGACCTGGGGGTAGAAAAACAACCACTGGGGCCCATGGGTTCTATCATGACATCTCTAGACAGAGAGGCAAGGAATGAACCAAGAAGTGCTGAGTTTGCACCTTATCTGGAGAGCTTAGGATGCTAAGTTCTAGTTGCAGTTGCTGTTACAGGACAACCCACGATGGAAGGGAGAGACAGGGAGAGAGCAGACCTCCTTGGGCTTGCTGTCAGTGTCTATCAACATCCAGGTGGAGGCAGAGGACCCAAGGACAGGCAGAGTGTTCATCTGCCTCGATGGCTTCTGCGTCAGTCCTGGGTCTGTGCGATTGCGGTCTTCCCTGCCATCCCTCGTGGCTCTTTGGGGGTGGGGGTTATCCAGGCCACTGTAGAATAGGAAGGTGGGAAAATCAGCTTTTTGGAGAAAGAGTAGCTATGTATTCAAACACTGTGTTTAAAACAGGATTCTGGTGCTTGCTTTGGCAGCACATGCAACTTGGGCTTCTGTTAAATCACTGAGTTGGTGAGAGGTTCCCTGGAAATGAGCATTAGCCCTGGGAGTGGAGCCCGGGGGTCAAGGCCAGAACTGTGGCACAGGAAGAGATTTGTCTCTAGGTCGCTTAGCACCCAGTGGGACTCAGTGTTAGCAGATCAAGTTTGCTACTCCAGGAATGTGTGCTGAGTCACCGTCTCTGGTGGCCCACCCTCCCAACCTTGTTTCCACACCAGAGGTTTGAATGAAAGAAAGAAAAGGCGAGGATTTGTTTGACAGCAGGGCAGTGTTGAGTAAGAACTTGGTGAAACAGGACAGTGATTCTTACACGAAGCTGGCCACGGTTTGCCTGCCACCCTGAACTCCTTCTGCGCATGGCCAGACACAGTTCCTTCTCCTCTTAAGTTTGGAAAACTATTTGTCCTTCTTGGCCTTTGTCACTTCACTTCTTGGATAACGGAAAAAAATGAAAATAAACATGTCTGTTTTATTTCCCAATAAGCCATTTTAGTTCAGCCATATCCCAATAAGACCATTTGTGGTTTAGTCTGGGTGTCTGTCTGTGTTATTGGCATTACCATTTAGAGGGGTGCCCTTGTGTTTTCGGGGACAAAAGGAATATCTGTGAAATAGCAGTCACTAATGAACTGTTGTTCCTCTCAGTGAACTGTTACGAAGGCTCCTGGGTGAGATGCTGTGGGTGGGTGTAGAATTTGGCCCCTACCCTTGAAAGTGGCCCTGCTCTGTGCAGGCAGACCGTCAGAGGGCAGTCAAGGGGTCTGAGAGAAGCCCAAGAACCCATTTCAGCCTGTGATTCCAGCAAGTTGCTTGGGGCGTTGGGTGCTGTAGCCAAACTTAAATGACCCTCCTGATCAGCAGGTTTCTAGAAATATTGGATTGTAACCGCTTTCAACTACAAGACACTGTCTGCCACCAGAGGATTGGAAGACTGGCTCAGGGTCAGGCTTGGGAAAAAGCAGTGGTGATAAAAGACAAGGGTGGCCAGGCTGCACCAGGCCTGGAGTCCCTTTGGAGGAGAGACGGCAAGGTTCTCCCGCTGCTGGTAGACCCATAGAGGAAGGGCACTAAGTCCACCTGGTGGTTTGTACAAATTTGTTGCAAGGGGGAAAAACTGAATTCAGCAGAAGCCATGTGGTCTGGAAACATGGGTTTGTGCAAAGGACTGAGGTATGTCAACCTGATGTTTTGGAGTGAGCGTTTTCGTGTTCTATGAATGAGCAACAGGTCAGCACCTGGAGACACCATCTCAGGGACCCCAAGGAGGCCTTGGTGGCCAGGCCCCCTGGGGCCCAGCAGTGTTGGCTGAAACTCATTGACCTGTGGGGTTTGTTCTGTCCTCACTCTGCCTTCATCACTTGCTGTCCTCGGGATTGGTTCCTCCCGCAGGTAGAAAAATCTGGGTGCTGGAGCCCCTTCCATCCAGTAGCCTGGAACCCCACATGACCTTCCTTTATATCTCCCACTGCATTGCTGTGGACAGTGTACATGCTGTGTAAACAGTTGTCAGGTTGATGTGTGTGGGGAGTGGTGCCATGGCAGAGTCTGTGTCTGTTCAGTACAGATGCATTTCTTTTTTGGAGGGGGGAGGTGGGTTTCTATGCACAGTTGCTTGAATTGGAGGGTGTAGAACCTGGCAACTGTACTCTTCTCCCTAAACCTGGGCCAGAAAGAAACCTGTTACTTGGTAATCTGATAATGCCTATTCCTGAAACTTTTGGCAAATGATGATGAGAAGAGAAAACACATTTCTTTTATCCCTGGGGAAAGAAATTTCTGGAACTCTGGTCCTCCCAACGTGCCTCAGCTCCCAAGTGTTGTCTCAGCTAACTAGCACGTTCTCCCATCATGGTGTCTGATGTCTTTTGGCAATATTGATGGCTGCTTGTTCTGCTCTTAACAAAGGTGTGTAAGTAGGGAGGGCTGACCATTGTCACCAGTGCTGCTGCCTGTTGGTCCCAGAAGCGTTGGGGTCCTCTCCTTGGCCCTGCTGCTGCCCTATGTGCAGACCCCGAGGTATTCTTTTCTCCATAAGCGTTGATAACGTGCTCTATGCCTGGCTCGGCTCTTGATGCCACAGACGCGATTGCCTCCTGCCAACTCCCTGTGGGGCTTGAAGTTCAATGTTAGAGGCACACAGCAGTGTGCAAGGCTCTTCAGGCTCGAGGTGGAGTGGAGGGAGAGATCTGAGTTCTTCCCGGCTGGACCAGCCTTCTTGAGGGTTTTCATCTTTATCCTCAGGGTAATGGAAACCTTTGAAAAGTTCTGGTACAGAAGGTGGAATGGGCCAGTCTGGAATTTGGAGGGCCTCTCTGTTACAGAGGAGAAGCCTGGGTTGTGAGGAGCACTCACAGCTGGGGTGCAGGAGAGATGGTGGCAGCAGGCACTTGGTTCTGGCCCACTGAGCTGTGGAGTACCAGCTCAGTCCACGTCTCTGTGTGTAGTGCTTCCTGCCAATGCAGTGGGCACTGCCACTTCACGAGAACCCATACTGGCCCCAGGCCAGAAACTATGTTTGGTCTGCACCAATCTAAGGAGAAGCCTGGGACTTAGTGGGGCACTGAGGTCTCAGTCCCAAAGGGCCTGCTTGGCTTGCTGATTCCCCTCTGGGAGTTAGCTCCACCACTCTGCAGCAGTGGGGCCTCAGCAGTGATCCAAGCAGTGATTGGACGTCAGCTGGGGACTTGCATGTTCATCTTTGGGGGACGGGCTGGATAGCAGCAGATGCCAGCTGTGAAGAATAGGCCCTGGTTTGGAGGCACAGGAACACTCCAGAACCATCATTTGCCAATACCTTCATTATACGGAAGTGGACAGTGGAGCATACGTTGTATGAGTCCGCAGATGGAGCAGGCCCGGGATTCTGGCTGGCGGTAGCAGTAGTGGAGGTGGAGACCTTGAAGTTGCATGTGGATAGCAGCTTGTGGAAGCTGAAGTAAATATCAGCTGCCTGTGTGTTTCAAATGAAGAAACTTATGGAAATGCAAAAGTTGAAATAAGTCGCACATATGTGCACCCCTACCCGCATGCCCATGTGTCCTGCTTGGGGCCACTTGTTACCAATGACAAGTGTTAAAATGGTGCTGGGAATATGTGCTTCCACAGGGCAGGGATCTAGTTGTATGAAACAGTTGTGGGAAAGATGAAAATATGTCT